AAATATTTTTGAATGGAACTATATCTATCACGTTTTTTAGCGGCCGCATTGCCTATTGCACTCAACCTCCAATCTCAGATGATAATCCAACAGAATTCATTAATACAGGCATACAAAGCGCCGAGACGCTTGATGACATGGAGTTACATTTAAGCGAATATGATGTTCAAATGCTTCAAGGTTCGTAGGTTACTATTGATTCTTATTCTTGAGAAACCGTTTCATTTTTTTTACACATTTTAGATGACAAGGGCTCCACTTTAAATGATCCTGACCAAATTGTTTTGATGGCATCTTCCAATCCCTTGCTGCCTGAACACGCCACAAATATTACGGCATAGAAGCACAATCGTCAGACAGAGATCTTTCATCGTTGTCAGAATGTCACTTTAACGATGAAATTATGGGTGAAAATTTATAATCTTTTACCTTAGTCTCCAATAAATTTCGGCTAAAAATGTCTAATTTTGCCACGTGAGCCAGATGAACCCTTTATGATATTAGAAGTTAAGCAGATTAGCAATGAGATGAATCTGTAAGGGGGTACAATCAATTCGACTGCGCCCTTGCGAGCAAGCATGATTTTGGTGATCTGAGGGCATATGTGAATGTTTTTATGTGGTATGGTTTTGATTCAGTGAGTAGCAGTGAAGAGAAAATGGGATGAACTAATGAGACTATGAAATTCTAACATAAAATCTTGACCAGATATTTAAAGAGCGTAAAGAATGGCGCTAGTTCACTTATTTGAATAATTTGCAAATAAAACATCTGCGGGAGGGGATGACCACCTTGGACAAACAGGAATGGCAAGTAGGTTGGGTTAACTCTGCCTATGAGGATTGGGTTGATGACATTTTCGGTAGCTTCATCATGCAAGTAAAATGAAATGAATGATTCCATGGTAAAACAATGTCAAAGGAGATATGAAGTGAGGTGAAAAAGACAATGGCAACAAGCACGGTCGATTAGTAAATCCTATAAAAGAAGTCCAGTGTAAAGATGTAGGTTCGTACCAGGCAGCTGCGTGCGAACTGTTTAATTTGATAAAAAGCATGATAGCATCTTTACTGTTTGGGCAAACAAAATCACGCCTAGTTTCATTTCTCATTTCTGCAATAGTGGAGACCTTGATAAAAAGGTGAATATTTACGCATGCTAGCGGAAAGAACTAAAATATTGGCCATATATATACACATATATATGCGCAATTCGAGGAAAGACGACAGCAGATTAAGTCAACATCGCTTGGGTGCTTTAAAAGCGTATGATGAATTTTAGGAAGAAGATAAAAGGATAAGCAGAGGCCTAAATGTTTTCTTCCTTAAATGAATATACATATTGTGCGCGAGAATAAGAATAGGGTAAGCGATCCTCGGATGCGAATTTACGTAACCAAGGTATATAAAAATGACAATAAAATTTAAAATATCTAGGAAAAGTTCTAGATGCAGATTCTACAAGTAATCGTTTTGATAGATTTTGGCAAATCACAGTAAAGCAAGTATAAATTTCAAAAGTGATCACCAAACTCTGCCATGGGAAAACAAACAAGATTCAAGAAGGCAAAATCGGTGGTGGAAACTGAAGCTTGCGCAAGATACGGTGATTCGGGAATTGATTTTATGACGTAGAATATAATGAGAATAAGCGATTAGGGAAAATAAATAATGGCAAGGTAAGTATAGGATAACACAGAAAGTTCTGAATTTAAATAGATCAAACCTTTCTCGTTTGATGAATAAAATTAGCAATCCCAGTGTATAATGTTTTACACGATAAGCTAAGACAGCAGATTTCAGATGGATATTGTATAATATACTGTGCTTTGTTGATGAGGCGGTCGGAAAGTAATATAATGTTTGTCTAAAAAGAGCGTAATTTATTCAAATGGACAACTGCGATATTCCAGGAAGACTTCAATTAATACAACGAAGCCTAATGAGCATATCAAGGAACGAATTGCAAAAGAAAATAATTGATCAGGGACATCTTCGTAAGCACAATGTCTATGTATATGCGAAACCAGGTGTTGCTTTGATTAAATGAAGAAAATGGCGATTTATTTTGTATACTGAAAGTAAGGATAAAAAGGATGGAACGAACAGGAAATTCGTTCGAATATCAAACATTTAAGAAAATGACAAGACAAAAGCATTGAAAGTGGTGGTAAAAAAAGCAGATTCATGGTCAAGCTTTCTTTTCTATGTATGCGCATATGCAAGAATAAGGCCCTTCGAAAGTAGGTACCTAGCTGGTATTATTTTGAGTTAAGTTTAACCATCAGTCTGCGAGGGACAACCGACGCTAGAGGCGACTAATTCACTGGGTAGTTGAGAGTCCAAAATATCACCGGAGCTTCCAGTTTTGCTGCTGTCATTGCCTCCATTGATGCTAATATTTCCTTTGCTAGCATTAATGAGAGGCAAAGCAATGGAAGAATTCGCCTGGAGACATAATTGCGAAGGGGTGGAAGCGGATAGAGCAGCGGCTTGAATTGTGCCTCCAGGAGATGGGATAGACAATACTTGTCTTGTTGGGGATGTTGAGATATTTGATATAGACATCAATTGCTGCTGGGCTGGTGGGGTGGTTACCAGATCTATTGGCGGCCCGCCGAAACTCGTCTGACCAGATGAATGAAGTGGTGGGTGACTGGACTTGTATCCATCCGTCCCACCATTAGTAGTGCTCTCTCCGCCACTACAACCAACATTTCCAGAGCTTGCACGAAGGCGGAAGCCAGTGGGCCGAAGCGCGGATGGAAAGGCGGTCGCGGCTCCGACTGACTGAGAGGTGGTGTAAAACGAATGTCCACCAGTCGTGGTACCGCTTTCGCTACCCCCAGATCCAGATGGATAATTATTAGAGTGGCCAAAATGCCCTGAGGAGCCTACGAAAGAAGATCCGGTGCAGTCAGAACTTGAGTCGCCCCCTTGGGGGCTTGTCGTCGGGACACTGTTTCTCAGTCCTGTGCTTGAGCCCAAGGCTCCCATTGCACCAAGATTTCCACCAGAGCCGCATAGAGTTTGAGTGCCTAGTCCAGTCGAGGTCGAAGTTGTGGAAGCGTTTAGGGGACTGTTGGAGGCACCAGCTCCCATCAAACTGGACATTGAAATAAAGCCATAAAGGCTTAGAACATGCATGGCATTCGCAATATCCTCGGTTGCTTGCTCACTGCAAGTTACGAGGAAGAAATTTGCGGAGATTTAAAAAATAAAGATGTCTTCATTCGTGCATGGTTCACTATCGCCACACAGTGGCATAAAATAGATCTGTTATACTTAAAGTAAAATAATTTTAGGAATCTTTTATAGCGAATCCATTTCAAATCTTTTAGTTATTTTTTTTCCTAATTTGATAAAATGTTTTCACTTATCAACGCAGTTACTCCTTTGTCTAAAATCTCACGTACTCTAATTTCTCAGAATTTCACGAATAAACTTTCAAAACAAAGCAGACTTAAACTTAAATAGGAGATAATCAATGCAAAATCGCTGAAGAGAATGATATAGCTAGTCCGTTATATTATAACCTTATATAAACTTTCATTAAAATCATATATTGAGATGTATCTTAACGTTCTCGTTAA